CTTTTCACCATCTAAACTTACTTTTTCTTCAAAAGGTAAGGGAATTAAGTCCATAGGAGTCAGTGGATTAAAACCATAAACAATTCAAATGGAGAAAAATTAGTGGTCGAATGCACAGTTCTATTCTAAGCAAACTCAACAAACGACAAACATTCTTCCTAACTCTTTAAATTCTTTTGAATTATAGCATGCAAAATTTAGGATAATGTTCTATTCACTGCCTTGGTTTGTCCATCTGTTTGAGGATGACATGTTGTCGAAAATAAGAGTTTAGTTCCCACCTTTCCCCATAAGGTCTTCCAAAAGTAGCTAAGAAGCTTAACATTATGATCTGACACTATACTCTTAGGAATGCCATGCAAACGTACAGTCTCCCTAAAAAACAAGTTTGTGATATGAGATGCATCATCTGTTTTATTGCATGCAATGAAATGCGCCATTTTCGAAAACCTATCAACCACAACAAAAATAGAGTCTCCACCTTTGACCTAGATAAACCTAAAACAAAGTCCATAGAGATATCTGATTGTGCATCAAAAGTGTCATTAAGTCTCTTATTTTACATATGTATTTATTGTTTTTATTTGGTTGTTTTTATAATAATTGATGTGTTTTTTAGTAATGAAGTTTGTTTTAATGTTTCGATAGGTTTTTGGAGCTTAAATGAATTAATTCACAAAATTCAACGTCGGAATTCAGAACAAAGAATTGAAGAGACATTTAGTTGAAGATTGAAGCAAATCTTGGTTCAAATAAGTGCTCCAAATTTGTCCCAAAAATCAATTCTATTCCAATTCTAGAAAAGAATATCATATGATTTATTTCAAGCCCAAACTTGCCTTATGTTGTGTGCAAACTTCAACCATTAAACACTCAAGGTTTCAATGTCAATCTTAGCCCAAATAATAAGTACATTTGTATACTTATTTGATGCTCAAATTCAGCCCAAAATCAGCCCCAAATCAGCCCTAAATCAACCCCAAATCAACCCAAACACAATCCATGATCTTACATGTCCACACAACAAATAACAATTGATTTATTTTGGGCAATCCATTGATCCAAGAAGGCAAGCACATGGATGGAAAGCTGGAGGGGATATTTTAACATTATTTTGGGTCAAAAAGAAGAAGGAGACACCTCATAAATGAGGAAGAAAAACGTGCACCAAAGTAGTTGTAAAGCTGTCTTGATTTGATTTTTCAGAACACCTTTCGGTGTTTTGCCCATAACTTTTGACTCAGGTGTCCAAATGAGCTGTTCTTTAATGATCTGGAAAGGTGACAGAATTGCCTATAAATATGTCTCTAATAGACTTCTCCAAAAAAAGCTTCTAAGAGGGTCGAATTGCTGTCCAAAGTTAGAGTCAGATTTGTGTCCGAATTTTTTCTGAAATTGTATTGTGTTCTTCTTTATAGATTTCGGTTCTTTAGTTTGTAAAACTTATTTTTTCAGTTGGATTCAAGTTCTTTCATGTTTATTGAAGTGTTCTTATATATAATCATGGTTGGCTAAACTCTTTCTTGGATCCAAATCAAGGATAATGGTGATTGAGGTGAGTTCTTTAGGATATGAATGAATCTTAATGTTTATCTTCTTATTTTCTTCATGAATGATTTATTATTGTAAAGAAATTTTAGAAATCATTTAGGTAATGTTATAATCTTGAATTTTTATGCACAAACTTTAGTTTTGGTATAGAGATTGCTTGATTCAATGTCTTACTTAATATGAAAGTACTTGTTCATTCTTAAGCAATAATCAATCTTCATCTTTCTAATCTTCATTGTAATATCTTCTGATCTAATATCACCATCATTGATATTAGGTTGAGTTATCTTATATATGTTGAAGAAATCACCAATACATCACCATTAAAATTGATTTGGACCAAGACTTACTTTTCTTGTCATTTAAAATCTATTTACATTTTTTTTTTATCTTTAAAAACAAATCCATCAATTATTTTCAACCAAGTTATTGTTAATTTAAGGAGCTGGCGGCCTGACCGGTGGCGCACCATGGGGCTGCGGTGGTTTGCTCTAGTGACTGTTGGAAGAGGAAGCAAACAGAGACTTATGGAGGAGAAGGGAAGCTCACGATCGAAGCTGTCGAAGTGGCTGAAGAGAGAGCTACTACCCTGGCTGCCTTTGGGAAGGAAAATAACTTCTGGTCTAGGTGGTGGTCATGAATTCTTCGGTTGCTGCCGCTGTTGAGGTTCCCGTGGCAGAGGAGATGATTTTTATGAAGGAGAGGGAGAGAGAAATGGTGTAACTACCACACGAGATAGTTTGGTGGCTACTAGAGGTTGAGATGATAGGGAGAAGACGGTTGATGAAGGTGGTGGTGGCTGAAAGCCACGGTGGAGAGAGAAGGCAGAGAAAGGATCGGTTGTAGAAAAAAATGAGCAAGGAAAGGAATGAAGAAGAGATAGTGCAACGTTAATTCACATTGCACTATCTCATGTGTAGAGAAGGAAAGGAATGAAGAAGAGAGGAGGAGGCTCACCTGGCGTTGAGGAGCTGGCGGTATAAAACCTTGATAAAAATACACTTTTAAGTACTAATCATGAAGTTGCCGAAGTGGCTGAAGAGAGAGCTACTACCCTGGCTGCCTTTGGGAAGGAAAAATAACTTCTGGTCAAGGTGATGGTCACGAATTCTTCGGTTGCTGCCGCTGGCGAGGTTCCCATGTAACTACCACGCGAGATAGTTTGGTGGCTACTGGAGGTTGAGATGATGGGGAGAAGATGGCTAATGAAGGTGGTGGCGGCTGAAAGCCATAGTGGAGAGAGAATGCAGAGAAAGGATCGGTTGTAGAAAAAAATGAGCAAGGAAGGCTGGTTTTCGGCCAACTTTGAGTTCAATTTTCTTTTCCCTCAAGTCATCAACGGAGCCTCTATTTATAGGCGGTGGAAGAGGGTAATCTTGTCTACACAGGGAAATAAAATTTCAGCCCTCGATTCAATTAGGAAGGATCCCAACTGTTGGCTTAAAATAGGCACCCTGAGTTGTCAATTCTGCAGGAAAAAGCTGCCTGAGTTGGCCTCTTTGGGGTGGGGCCACGTCTGTTTATTTGCTAGTGAACCGGCACCGGCCATACCCTGATGTAGAGGGATTTCTGGTGATCAGTTTCGTGTAAGTTTTGGCAAATTTGGTGGACGTTAAGTGCATTAAATGCACCTGCAAAAGGGATGACTGGACTAGTTTTTTCTGAAAAATAAAGAAGATAATGAACAGTGACGCCGTTTTGGAGTGAAATAGGGATTTTTACTAAATTTTAATTGAGTCCAATTTCTTTCAATTGAACCCCTAATTGACTCTAAACTTTGGATTTTATGCAATTAAGCCCCTGCTGAACTTCAATTGAAACCCTAAAGTTAAGCGTCTTTTATAATATGGTCCTCGGTCTCGGATTTTGTCAATTGAACCCCTAATTGACCATTAAACTTTCAATTTCTTCAATTTTTCCCCCGGTCTTTGTCAATTGGCCCCCCATAGTTTGTCGCATGTTGCATAATGGTTCTTGATCTCGGATTTTGCCAATTTAGCCCCTAATTGACTGTAAAACTTCAATTTTCTTGCATTTTTGCCTCTGATTTCAATCAATTAACTTGGTAAAAATTAAATTTGGTCTCTTAAAATTTCAATCTTCTCAATTAAGCCCAAATTAAATTTTCAAACTT